CACTGCAAGCTAAGCAATGACGAAATGACGGTCTCGATCGTCTATTATATTATATGCCTGAATTTTGCCTCTGCGAAACAAACAAGGACCCAAATCCCAGCCAGTTCATTGCCTATCTTCAAAAAAAAATCCCAGTCAGTGTTCATTTGATCTCTTACAATGAACAAGGTAGAGCTATTCTTCATCTCCATATCACCTAGAGGCCACATCGTTCCCATGGAGGAGGTTGCCAAGCATCTTGTTCATCAAAATTCTCGCTTCTCAATCACCGTTCTAATCATCAAAACATCCTTCGAAACCAACACCATCCCCTACGACCAACCCGTCCACGACCGAATCCGATTCATTTACCTCTCTCTACCCCAAAACCAAAATCATGACCTCAATCGCCCCAAGTTGATCGAGAGTCATAAACCCTTAGTCAAAGAAGCAGTCACCACCACCATCACTTCCTCCAACGACTCAGTACTCGCCGGGTTTGTCGTCAACATGTTCTGCACGACGATGATCACTACTAGAAAACTCAAAATTACCAACCCATAATCACCGACATGAGAAGTCTTCTCGGTAAACTATTCCCTTACCGACAAGACAAACGTCTGCAAATAAAGAAACAGTAAAAATAAGAGTAATTTATATTATTTAAGGTACAGACAAAATTTTTCTCGGTAAATTTGCACGATACATACGTGCCCTTCGTCGGTAATTTGCTGCAAAGTACACCCGGCCACAAGCAGACCAATAAACAAATCAGCGACAAAGATCACACCTGTAACTAATTCAATCTGCAATAGGATTCATCTCGGTGAATTTATCGACAAAGACTTCGTTGGTAAATTCATAGTCCCCAACCCTTCCCCGTGAATCCGGCTGCCGATGGCTGAGCTCACAGCTTTTGGTACTCTTACCGACGAAATTCTGATCGGTAATTTCATATTGCCAACCATACACTTCTCGGTGATCACGTTGGTCAACCTGCATGCTGTAGCTCCGCAGAGAAGATCAGCTTTTAATGGTTGCAATGTGGTTTTCGTCGGTAGGGGTTACCTCTTACCACCCCAGACTCCCTTACCCTTTCAATTTGGTCTTCCTCTTCAGGCATCTTGCTTTCCTTTCCTCTGTTCTTCCCTTTGACTAGTTGGTTACAATGTGTTTGATCTTTGCTTTTCTTTAGTATTTTCTCCAACAAATTCCCAAAAGCTGCACAAATAGAGAGAAAAACGGAGATCTTTGCTTTATAAACGCAGACGGGGAATGTTGAAAGAAGACGAAGATGAGGTTTACATTACTCGACAGTGGCTCGGGGTTGGTGAAGTGAGATGGTTCTGGTACAACTCAGGTCCATATTCTTTACCCAATCCATTTACGCACTTTCTTGGGGCTTGGAAAATTTTTGTCAGTAAAATGGGCAGAATTCTTTCCAACATGAAGCTGGTTTGGGCGGGATTGGAAAATTTTTGCACATTTTGGATTCCCGCGTGCAAGCAACATTACGATGTGCATTTTGTCGATAAAATAAACTCCGACAAGAGTCACATTGGTAAAATACTCTATATATTACCACAACACCTTAACCCGCTCAGTTCTTTTTTCTTTCTTTCTTGCTTTCTTCTTCTTTTTTCTTCTCCTCCCTTCTCTGTTCCTCCTCGTTTCTTCCATTATTTAGATGCTGCTAGATTAATTGTATTATATTTATAATTACATTATATTTATTTAATTTTAGGTTTGTATCTTCTCAATTTCCTCTTTTTTTCTCTTCCATTCTTTCTCTTTATTTGATTAAACACTAATTTGTGTTATTAAT